GCACATCTACCTTCTCACATCCTTACATTAAAAGCAAGTTTATTTGCTTGATTAATTCACTCTATGTTTATATATGCTTACTTATTCACATGGTTAAAGTCATCTGTTTAACATCTTTGTCTTAAAGGGATTAAAACTCTAGAAATGAAAAGCTATGATTTTTTTCACGTAAGCAAACACCACAAATCTACTTACACTTCACAACTGAATTTGCTAAATGAGGTGGTCTCTGTCCTTTGGTGAACAGGTATCTGACTAGAAGTAAAAAAAGAGACAAAAACTTCCCAGAGTGTTGTAAATGATCGTGATATTGGCCAAGAAGAGACAGCAGGATTTGTCCATTGCAATGACCCTGTATTTTAGAGAAGCTTAACAGCTTCACGGAGCTGACATTTGCCAGAACATTAACTAACTTTTAAATGATGCTTAAAGAAAACCATGCAAAATGTTCACTAGTTGAACATTTTTTGAACTACAGTAAGACCTGATTTTCACAGGTCTTGAGGCACCCACAGCACCTGCAGAAGGAGACTTACTAATCACCTTAGAAAAACAGCCCAGATGCACACTGCTTCCAAGGTAGCTGGACCAACATCTCCCAGTGGAAAGCAATATTATTAAACATGCATGGAAAGCAGGACAGACAGATAAAGCTCAACAACTTTTTTTTCCTAAATAAAGAGCATTTCCCCTTTCAGAAAAAGTGAACCAGAAGTGAACACCCACACATAGCCTCAAAGCTTTTCAGAAACCCTGCCCTCCAGCTGGCCCAGCTACACCAGGGCTAGTCAGATCCCACTGACCTAACTACTAGATTACCCTACTCCCACTATTCAGTTTTCAGAAATAAAATCATGCACCTAACACAAAGTGTACCCATGTGCAGGACACATGTATATAAAACCCCAAACTTGTTGACAGGAGGAAGGCAGAGGAATTATTTCTTCACATCTTCAGGGGCAAATTGGCTTTTTAATTGCGGAATTTTTTTTGTCTGGAAAAAGTGTTTCTAAAGAGTAAAACCATTACCAGAGAAAAGGTGACCAGGACTATTCTGACCTAAACTAAGGAGGTAAAAAACATCCACATATAAAATTTGCTCAGAGAGGAAGTCAGAAACAAGCATATACACCACTGGATTATAACTTCAAATCCCAAGCAGATTGAGCCAAGGCATTTCTAGGTTTACAACACTTCTCCAAGACTCTCGTGCCACCTTCTCACTCCCAATGTGGTCTCAGCTGCCCTAGCAACACTGCTTTTAGGAAGAGGTCACATTTGGTCAGTCTGGTATTTGTTGGAGCCACATGATTTTCATTGCTCATGATATTTAGGTAAGAGATCACCACCCACCCTACCTAATGTGATACCCAAACCCACGCAGATTACTTTAAAGAATCTAGTCTTGGTTGCACTGATTTTTTTTTTTAAGAGACATAAACCAATAGTTTCTGCTTGTCAGAACAGGAACAAGAAAGGACATTCCACACATGTTTTCTGGTGCACTCAGCTTCTTTAGTTATTGTTTCATGTTTGGTCCCATTTTCATGGATATATCAGTGGAGAATGTGCATGATTTTAACTTGTGTTGTCTGGGAGTAGTCATCCACTGATTCTCAGTCACCTGAGCAACTGCTGGGTGCAAAATAAAGGGACAAGTGAAAACCTCATGCCAAGTCTCTCCCAGGCTATAATCATTCCAAATCCCTCTTAGGTGACAGTTCCTGCAGTTGAAATTCTCAGTGGTATAACAGTAAGCACCCTCACATATGAACACTCCAATCAAACATCATATTATGATTTGGACTTACTCCTTTGACATAAATATGATACTCTTTATATCTGGTGGGTCTAACGATCAATCCAACAGAGGTACTCACTCACAAGCCACTCTTGCAAACAAGCCTTAATCATGGATTTCTACAAAAACAGCACAAAACAAATGAAAACTAAAGCCATCCAAGCAAATAAAAAGATTCAGATCTCAAAGTTCAGGATGACTCAGAAATGCATGCAAATATTGTGAGCTTGCAGATTACCAATTTAGCAATTGGTTTCATTTTGAGACCTTTCTGGAGGGGAACTAATACAGTAACAGCAATTTCTCCCAACCCACTTCCCATCGTTGTCACACAGGCAGACTCAAATTGTCAGGTTGACCAAAATCATAGCTGCAACAGAAAATGGCATTATAATGAGAATTTGCCCAAGAACTTTCATATTATTTACCAACTAGAAGTAACATCTGAGGCAAGCATACAATGCCAGACAAACTCCTTCTCCTTATTTCATAGAGCTACACTCTGCAGCCTACAATGGGTGTACAAGTTGCAGACTACATAGATTTAACAAGCCTTACCACATCTGTGTGGAAGAGGTTTCTGCAACTCTACTGATACTCAACTCTTTCTCATCAAAATCATATAGAGGGAGAAGTAATAAAAAAAAAAAATCATACTTTATTTGGAAAAAGGTTGAATAATTTATTTTTAATGACTTTAAGACAACTTATCCATAAAAAAAAATACCAACATTCCTCCTCTTTCAATCTCTGGCTGCTTTTCATTTTTCTCAGGAAGACAAGTTCTGCCACATGGTTCAAATTTTTTTATACATTGATCTTTCTACTGTAACTTTTTTTTACTATAATGTTAAATTAAGCTGCAGGGATAAATGAGAGTATATCTCTCTATAAGTACATTTGTATATACATGAACATGCTGCATTTGACAGTTGCCTTCTCCACCTTTTCCATGTCACTTTTTACCACTTTAACTGCAAACTCTTTGTAGTGGGAGCCATGTCTTTCTACTCTTACTTGCACTTACAGTTCACATTTGATCAGAGTTTACAGCAACAATGTTTATATGCTAAGGAACTATAATAAGAAATCATTCAGTATTGTGCGGAAGAGCACATCTATGAAAATCAAAAGCAGCATGTGAAAAAATAATTTATAAATAATATTTGAAAGTTTAATGTATCCTGATCAAAGGCAGTGGAAACAGAGGCTGAGCCTGAAGAATTATCTCCAGCCTGACATGCTTTAACTACCCATTCCTAGCAGACAACTAAACTGTTATGAAAAAGCACAGAAACTGAGCTTTAATACTAAACATATGACCCAGCACACATAGGGAGACACCCTGATGCATTACACTGGTTTGCTTGGAGATGATGTAACTTCACAGCAAAAAAACAGATGCCAATGAAATTTTAAAATTTCAAGAAACCAAGAAAGCACTGGGCAAGTGGAAAAAAAAACCACAAAACAACAACAAACCAAAACCAACAAACCATATATACAAACCCAGAAGATAAATTCTTCCAGATCAAACATTTCCCTAATCCTGTTCATGTACAGGTTGTTAGAGGTCTATTAGTGACACACACTGAAAACACAAATACTTCATTCTCAGACCAAAAGTTTTGCAACCAAAGATATTTTTATAATGCTGATGAGTCTTCTCATTTCAGATTAGAAAATGATTTATTCTCTTATCAAACTTCTTTTGATCTCCGAGTTTGAGCCACACTTGCTCCATGTGCCTGCAAACTCTCAATCACAGGGGTTTGGTATTTATTTTTTGTGTGATGTGTTGCTAGAAGCCCCCTCCAAAAAGCAGCACAATGCTGCTCTGGGAAGGGCTGTGCAGATGAGCGAGGGAGGCATTCGCTGCCCCACAGAGCTTATTATTCCAACGTCAGACAAAGCACGACAGGTGGACCCAGCAGGGAATTTCAAATAGGGCAATACTTATTTTAGCACTATTTACATCTTCTGGATCTCTGAATATTAAAATCTAAATGTATTCTCACAAATTTACGGGGGGGGGGGGAGGAAAACCAAGGATTCTTGCTACAGTGTGCCACAGAGAAAACGGGGAGAAGCAGAAATACATCAATCCCTCCCTGTTTGGGTAAGCTCTGTCTTTTAAAACAGTCATAGGGCCAAGTACTGCAGTCTCACTCAGGCACATCTTATGTATCAATAGCTCTGCCTCAGTAAGAATCCAGGAAAGACTGCAGGACAATTTATATAATTGACTGGATCAGTAGCTACACCTGTTATTAAGATTACTTGACACAAGCGATTAAACAACTACCTGCAGTTGTTCATACCCCGCCAATATTTTGCCATTTTGGCTGATTTATCTATGATGCATGACTGCCTCAGGCTGAGTGTTTTGGAAATGGTACAGCTTCTTCTAAGAACAAGGTTATGGAATATTACACTTAAAATCCTTCGAGCTTCTCCCCTGAACAACACTGGTGCTTCAAGCTTTGGAGGAAGGTTTGAAATCTGGTAGCCTGGCTGGGCCTTTTGTTCCCAAGAATAGCCTTTTGTCCTCAAATGTGCCTCAAGTAAACCCTTAGGAACTGTCTCTGCAAACTGCAGCTCTCCAATGATGAGTGCTTGGCTTTCCAGTGTTGTCACTGTGCTTTCAGCAGAGTTTTTATATGAAAGCAAGTGTTGCATCTTGCTTACACTGTATTCCTCCTTCACCCCGTTTAAAACCATGTAGAAAAGGAAATGAGAGTAAAGTAATCAAATCAGTATTCAAAGAAGAAAACACAGTGAAGTTACAGATATCACACAAGTACCTTAGTAAAATATTTCTTGAAATAAGGCAAACACCAGCCCAGCTGGTCCACACAGCACAGCTGTCACCCTTGAACCAAGCAACTTTGTCCACGCAGCTCACATGAGGTACCACCTCTTATATCAGCTCATTATTTCCCAGCCTTTATTCCATTTCTCCTCAAGCCACCCTCCTGCAGCAGAGGAGCAGTTCTGCCCCTGTCACAGGTGAGGAACCAGAAAAGCAAAGCATTTGCTTACAGTCACCCAGAAAGGCTGTGAAGGTACAAGGAACTCAACTTGACTGCGCAGGTCCTGGGCCAGCCTCGTCTCCCCCAGAGCTGAGCCAACCCGCTGCCAATTCACATCAGCACTTCCAGAAATGCCTTGCTGGCAAGTAAGAAAACACACCTCTTACCTGCCAAGTCTCCCAGCTTAAATTCTCAACTCCTCTTCTTTTTATTTTCTTCTGCTTCCAACACTGAAGGCAGCGAGGGGAAAGAAAAGAAACAGAAAAAAAAATGTCAAAGGAAGAGCCCCAACTATTTCATTCAGAAGCCTTGTCATATTCAACACAACTCTCCCGAGCAAAAATCTCAGGGAAATAAGTGTGGTTTCTCCACTGACTTTTTTTTACAGAACTCAGGTCAAGCTCATAAGCAAAGGCCTCCCTAAAGTACGAGATGCTGAACCTGAGACCAAGACCTGTGGCAGGAGGAGGGGGTTCTCATTCAAGAAAAGCTAAACTGAGAGCAGCAATTTGTATAAGAAAAATATGGAGATAAGCACGGTGCTTATTCACAAAGTTGTAGGAATACATGTAACTTTAATTAACCAGAAGCCTCTACTCAGACAAGCACAAACTCACACAGGAACTTTCAGGATCTGCAGAGGGGAAAAAAGGACAGAGGGGCAAGTGGGAAACTGAACCACAGTCAGCTGAAATCAATGGTGAGGCTGACAACCATTTCAGTGGACTTTGGAACATACCCAAAGTGGCAGAAGAAAAAAAAGATGCAGCAGGAACAGGGAGAATAAATTAGTATTATTAGTATACTTGAGCAGATTAGTATTAGAGCTACTAATAAATATTATTAGTAGCACAACTTAAGAATAGCTGGGGAACTGCAAGAGGAAGGACAGATTCTGCTCTTAAGGCTCATAAATGCTGGCTTCCTCCATCAAAATCAATGAAGTAGTTTTAGATTTACATCAGTGTAACTAAGAACAAAATCAAATTAAGGAGCACAGAGTAACTGGAGAAAAACCAAGCATTATTGAGCGTTCCAACACTGGGAGGCACTCAGATACTATAGTGCTGAAGGCCACGTTAGTAGATTGATTAAATGTTTGATCCATCAGTGGGAGATTTATCCAATATGGGGAGAAAACAGAGCTCTGACACTAGACTACTAATCAGCTATTATTTATAATTTCTGCATGCTATAAACATACAAAGGAAATGCTTTATAGAATTTGCAGTAATAATAATTCCCATTTACTTCCCACTCTTGAGATTAGTTCTAACAGATTCCTTCAACATTTTAAAGGTGTTTTGTAAAAGCATTTTCAAAAAGGTTTCAATAATAAAATCCCAGGACTTGCATGTTCTTATTTAGATTCTCACTCCTTTTGGTCTTACAGATTGATACCAAACGCTACAAAAACTAAATCCAGAGCCATTTATACTATTTTTTTTTTTTGCATGCACTATTTTTCTTGGAGAAACAACAGAGTCTTTCTCTGCGCTTCATTGCCAGGCTCATCGTGAGGTTTGTATGTGACAGTGTGAAAGTCGCAGTTTCTTTTCAACAGTTTCATGCTCCCACAAACACAGACTAGTTTCTTTCAGACACCTACTTTCACTAATGCATTGCCATTCCTTATGTCATGTACACTCTCTGCCTCTGTTCTAAACCCACAAACCTTAAAAAAAAAAAAAATTAAAGCTCCGACTTGAGTTAACCTTTCTTGTATTTTCTTATTTCCCTCTAAAAATCATTGCAATTATGAAATTTTTCTAAGTCCTTACCACTGGGATTTCAAACGACTTGAACATATCTGGTTTTGATACACATATTGCATATTACACACAACGAATTATTCCAGCAACCCTGCCTTTTATTTCCATGTTTAGTCCATAAAGTCCACCCATTTCTAACGATACCAAAAATCAAAGCCAGTGACATTTTTGTGACATCTCTGTCACCCACATACACACACATTTTTTCCACTTTTGAGTACATGGCCTAAAGGCACAGAAAAGGCTATTATTAGTAACCTGGGGAAATCTATTTAATCTCAAATTGTAGAGATTTATGTTTAAATAAGTGAAACAAGGTTCTATCTAGTTCCTGCTCCCACAGGTAGACCTTGATTAGTAATTACGAGTTCAGTCCTTAAATTTCAACTAATAATGAGACCATTAAAAAAAAAAAGGCAGGTTTAAAGTTCTTTTATTTTAAGGAATGAATTAAAAGATATAAAAAAATTGAAGTCTCTTTAAGAGAAGATATTAATTTCCTTTCAGAGAAGAAAGATGATGTCCTTGGCTGGATTGTTGTCCAATAGGATCTACCCAGACTTTTCAAAATACCAGACAAGTTTAACCAGCACAAGAAGGAGTTTTCCTACAAAGCAGTGGAGCAGTAAGCAGAAAGCTACACCTTCCCATATGTAAGGTGAATTTGTGTTTATGTGCATTTATATCAGGGTTGTGTCAAGCACAGCATGACACTGTCCATCTTGGCGTTCTTCTACCAGTTTGTGCATTGTTGATGAGTGAAAAGACTTGAATCCTATTCCAAGGTCTAATGATCACAAGTCCCACCATATTATCATTATTACTGAACCTATTCTTAAATTCAGTTTCAGAAAGAAACAACATTTTCATAGCACTTCCCTAGGAGCTGCACGTGTTTTTGATTCCCAGTGCTTGGCTGTAGTGGGATCAGAAAGGTATGATCCAAAACACTCTTTAAAGGAATTTCAGGAAGTCCACCTGGATATTTATTTGAGCATGTTTGCTCAACTTTACTCAGAGATCAGGCTCTCAATTGTATTACAACAAACTTATTGGAGATTACAGATTAGTAAATAGGCCACTGGTGCATGTAGGATCAAAAATTAGAGCTCAATGTCTTGGGTGTAGCTGCATTAGTACTTGAGAGTTATCATCTGTTGCATGGAGGAAATGGAGCAGAAAGCTTGTCTTTAGATCACCATTTCCCTTTCTTCCATCTCCCAAAAATAAACAATTTAAAGACATTATGAAAGCTTTACAGTAAGGACTCATGCAAAACTTGTGCCACAAAATGTAAAAATCCCTCATGCTTCATTACAAATCTGAAAAACAAGACAGTATCTGCAAACAAGTTTCACACAATGATGATGAGTGTTAAAACAGAAACTAAAGAAAAGCTCCAAGACTGAGAAAGAACTATGGGTTTAAGACTAAATTATCTGAAGTACAGTGTTTTCATATGTTGTGGCCAAAAGGCAGGGAAAAGTAGTATTTTCATAAACTGGAAACCATCTCAATGGACAAGGACTCTTGCAAACCAGTAAAAAAAAGTGATTTACACATCTTTTTGGATATCCCCAAATTTATGTTTAATAGCAACGTATCTTTATCTTCATGTGTCAATAGTTGAAAACACTTTATAATTCAAGAGGATTTCAGGGGGTCCTGGAAATCTATCAGACTTAGGTTGGAATTTATTACACATTAGAAAAGAAACACCACAAAGCAAGTCACCTATATTACCCATCCACAAAAATAGCATCTGTCTTCCTGGCTCTATTTTTGAGGTTAGCAAGAATTTACTCTGAAAGCAGTCCTATCGCTTCAGTGATTCCCCTTCCAAACAATCCCACAATCCTCATTTTTATGCTTTTCAAGCCCTTTACAGCACTCTCTGAAAGGCAGGGCCTGTCCTCATGCAGCTTTCTCCATGAAGTGCCAGCTGCAGTAGGTTTCCCAGTTCCCACCTGTGGTTCCAGGGTAGTCTTCTCTGAGATGCCACAGCAGAAGGCTTTACTTAACATCCCTCAAGCTTTCATCTTTTTCTTCAATACTGACAATATGTATTTAAGGAGAGAAAGAACAAAGCTAGACACTTGGAATCACAGAATCATTTAGCTTGGAGAAGACCCTTAAGGGTAATGTTTGGACTCATTGGTTTGACACTTTGAAGTCCACCACTAAGCAGTGTCCTTAAAGTGCCATGTTTACACATATTTTAAATACTTTAGTGGATGGAGACTCCACCACTTCCCTGGGCAGCCTGTTCCAGTGCTTGACAACCCTTTTGGTGAAGAAATTTGAACTTGAACCTACACAAGCCTGGAAAAGCAGCTCAAAAGGCATAAACCACTCTGCTCACCTCAGTGAGGTGTTAACACAGAAAAGCCCAAAATTACTGCAACGGGGTTGAAGTTTAAACTATTTCAAGACTTACATGCGAGAAAAGAACTGGTTGTACAAAGACATCCCACTCTGATATTGTAGGCATGTGGCAGTTGAAAGATAACCTGTTTAGCCTCCTCCCACCTAACAAGGAACCAGCCTCACAGAGCATAACACTACAACAACCACCCAAACAAGAGAGGGATTAATTCAAGTAGCTCAACAGACTTCAAAAATAACACTCCACCTAAGTGACTGGAATAAGTGAAGCTCCAGAAGGGCATTTACACTTTTTTCTACTCTTCTCTGCTCTCACTACAATACTCATACAGAAAATTTCTTAAATCAGATATGGCACAATGACTAATAATCCATTTGCACTCTGGGTGAGCTTGGCTAATGAATTCAAATGAGAGCAGAAGCAAGCCACAGACCGCCAGATTTTTAACATCCTCATATTTTCTACTAATGCTGTAATTGTAATTAATGTTTACTTTGTTGTATATTTTATTGCTGAGTCTTTAAATTCCTCTGGGATCCCTTTGGGATATACAGTACTATATAAATGTAAGTTGTTATTATCAAATAACAATCACTGGCCATTTAAATTATACAATAGCTACCTGATTATACTTAACCAAGTTTAAGCTCTAATAAAAAATGATTATATATAATCTAAATTAAAGATATTTTTCCCCAGTTCAAAGAACTCAAAGTTCTTCACATTGAATATGCAAGTGCCCTGCAACACCTGGAGCATGATACTGAAATCAGTTAAGACTTCTGTTGTTGCTTTCAATGGAGATGTGATGTTTGCCAGAGAGTTAAGTACCTTCAAAATTCTACCCTTTCTGAAGAAGGAAAATTAAGATTTGTTTTGTTTCCCCCAATCATATGAGAAGAGTATTCATCTGCGCATCTAGCACTGATCGTGGAGCATCTGTAACAGTCATTTTGGCTGTACCAACAGTTATACATACACTGTAAGTCTGAGGTATTATTTCAACATAGCACAGACATCTCTGAGCTTACACCAAAGCAGGCAACTCAGTGTTGGTCCTGTGAACTGGATG